GGCCAAATGGCAGGATTGACTTACAATTGTCTTCTTTGCTCGGCTGTAATTAGTGCCTTGTTTGGCAATCATACTTCCATAGATTGATTGAAAGTATGAAGACCAAGATGGTGTGGTCTTTTTTTGTGGTCGCAAGGACAAGGTGCTTTCCTCTAATTCTTCCTACCAATATGACCAAGTTGCGAAAACAAGGCCAAACAACTTCAAATCTGTTCTTTGTTAACATATACACTGAGCCCAGGCCAGGCAAAGTAGAAAGAGAACGACTAGGTCATGACAGCTAATAGTGATAGGATAGGATAAAAAGATGAGCAAAGGATACGAGGAAGCAGATAAAGGACAAAGGGATCGAGGAAGATGAAAATTTTCAGAGGTGGAGGAACGGTCGTAAATGCCAGCAAACGAATAAAAACCAGCGAAAAACTAATACAAAGCAATCTATTTTTTATATCCAGGCCTTGCTAGTGGGAATGTGATTCAGTAGGTCCGATGAATTGGTTACCTGGTCACTTGAGATTTCTCGACGCTGACACGACGCAAAGGCCTCGCTGCTGCTCAAGCTTGTCTGAGGGTTGACAAGCGTGTTTTTTTTCGACAGGAGATGCGGCGAAAATGGGCGAGTGGGCAAACAATGGCTTTAGCAAAGGCTTGTGAAAGTCGACCGTTAAAGTGAACACAACAATTAGAGGAAAAATATTATCCTATCTTAAAGTGATGCAAACAGTATCGAGTAGAAGCTATTTCAGGTATTGTTATTCATTATAAAATCTCTCACTTATGTCCCCCACCCTTTTGGGAACTCATCTCCAGCTCCTGGTGACGCGGATCTGCCCATCACGAACCATGCCTTTGGGTAGGACAGAATTATTTTTTCACACCCTCTCAGTCATACGTCTCGTGCCACTCCTGCTTGGTGCATCACTTCGTGTTACGCAAAGTCATTTATCCATGAACCCCACAAGACGGGCATGGGGAAGATGACCCCTGACCATGTGAATTCGTTTTTTTATGTCTTCATTTATACTGTCGGCGGTTAAAGCCATCGCAACACTCAACCCAAATAGACTTAGCATACCCAGCATATACATACCTGACGGAAATCGAGTTGTGGAGGTTCGGTTGCCGAGGTGACCGCATTGGTCGCGAGGCCACACCACCCTGCCTACGCGAAAAACGTGACTCTGGGGGCAAAATAGGCTTCTCCCGCCAACAATCGGGCCTCCGATAGTCTCGATCAACATGGCGTTGACAACGTTGGATGAAAACGCTTGATTAGGATGTCCGACGGATGAAGCTCCAATGACGCGATAGCGCAATCCGGTCAAGCATTCTCGTATAAAACAACAACAACAACAACAATAATGAAGAGCTGGACGTCCAGCCGAGCGGAACGGTGACCAGCCAGAGCATCGAGGAAGCCCCGCTTAGGAAGACTGAAAAGCCGCGCCATCTTCCAAGACTGGGGTTCGACAATCTGGACGGGCATTAGCAACGATAAAGTGGAGTCCGTCGGCGGAGTAGTGCTGTAGTTACACGACATCTGAGTGGTCTACTCCCGCTATTTTTCACCAGAACCACAAGATTCACAATATGACTTTACTCGAAGATCGATTGTGCATGTCAGTGTTGCGTTGTCGGGCGGACTAATCAGATCTCGCAACTGTATCTAGCCTGAACGTAGACCTATCAGATCGAGGCCTGTCGAACCAATCAAAAGTCGACATTCAACATTCACGTCGCATCAAGCCGGGACAACTATGACATCATCGTCCCACAACCAGCCGTCCGCTTGGAGGGTCGGGAGCCAATCGGTGGGTTGGTCGATGAGTTGGTCATTCAACGGTCAGTCGGTTGCTAGTTTTGCCGATTGGTCTTTCTGTTGGTCAGTCAGTAAGTCCTTCGTTTTGAGAACCCTCGGCCTCCTGTCCTATCTTCCCTCTACATTTTCTGTATAACATGTTACTTTTTTCCGCTCTTTCTGACTATTTTACCTTCATCCTCACACTCTTCAACCCCTCATACATGTCCGTCTTACTCGGTTCCCATGCTTATTTTAAAACTTTAATTCTCCCGAATTATCCATTTTGCATGATTTATCATTATCAAAATAATCGTCGGAAACTCTCTCCACAAGGCTACTGCCGATTCTCGTTTTTCTGCCGACGTTGATGCAGCCCACAATATTTCCTCCCTCGTGTCTCTGGCGTTTCCTTGCGGTGATACCAACCACAAATATCTTCATACGAAATGACAATCTCCACATCACTCATTCATCTCCATCACGAATGCCTACAACTATTTATCTGTTTACTCCTTTGAATGCTTATACAATTTCATTATCACATTCTTTACACTTTTACTCTTTCATCGGATCTCAGGACAATTGTCAAAGCCTAACTCATCCATTTGGATTTGCTTCCAACCTTTAATCAGCCTCCTACAACGTCCGAGACGCAGTCTTTCTACCACCGTTTCTAGGGCTGTATTTATTGCAAAGACGCAACATCTCTTCTTCAGGCTTCTCAACCCACTCTGCTCCCCTGCGCCCACCTTTTCTCACATGTACACACATACAAAGCCTCACACGTAAACCCGGCGACATTCGTCCGGCTTGCACCCTTGTACGGACAAAAATGGCTGCACGACCTGCCCTCCTCACCTCTTTCAACTCGGCGGCCGCGCGCTGTCGCGTCGCCTGCATGCCCGTCTGCAGGTTGGCCAGCTCGTGGCGCGCACTGGCCGCGGTCATCGTGGCCGCACGACAGCGCACTCTGGCCACCGCGTCGGCGGCCGTGCGCGCCGCCTGCAGCCGACGCTCGCCCTCGGCGCCCATCTCGCCGCCGCCCGCCAGCTGGTCGAGCAGAGCCTTGCGCGCCAACAGGCCGCGACGCTCCTGCGCCGGCCGCGCTGATTGGCCCAGCCGACACGGCGCTGCGTCGGCCGGCGGGCAGTCGGGCAAGGGCGCCGCTTGGCCCGAGGCGGGCCGCAGGGCCGGGCCGGCGGCCAGCAGGCCGCGCGCCTCTGACAGCCAGGCCAGACAGTCCTCCAGGCGAGCTGAGAAGCGCTGGTAGGCGTGCACCAAATCGCAGCTCTCGGCCAACAGGATCTGCGAATGGACAGACACCAGACGGCACGCAAAATGGAGACGGGCTTCAGCCCACTCGTTTGGTTGCCCTCGAGACGAGGGCAATTAAAGACTGACTTTTTGTCCGTAAGTTATCTTTCAAGACTATGAATGAATCAGATTTGTGAAATGGGTTCGCTCTATTTCCTGTTTATGTTATGAAGTATATGTGAAGAAAAGTTGGGTTTCGACGAATTTCTTGTTTCATAATTGTTGAGCTTACTTCTATTTCGAATGAAAGTGTTTGGTGAAGAGATTCGAAAGTTGATTCGACCAGAATACGACGGCAGATTGCTCTTGACCAGCTGTCGATTGGCATTACTGGAGCACTCATGGTGACGCTGTTTTCGAGATAATCTCCTTCGATTCAGGTGAAAATGTGCTAAGCTTTCGTCCGTCATATGACGAACATCATCAGAACAAGATATCATAGTTACAACCAAATTGAATCTAACGAGTCAAGGAAACTCATCGGCAAATCACTAAAAAACGGTATATATACTCTATATCTGGCCTCTGATCAGATATAAAGTAATTTGTTTAGTGACGCCTGTGAGTGTGTCTGTCTCTGTATGCGTAAGTGCCTGTTTTATTGACTCGTTATATGTTCGTCATATGACAGACGAAAGCTTAGCACATTTTCACCGGAATCGAAGGAGATTACTTCGGAAACAGCCTCAGCATGAATGTTCCAGTAAAGCCAATCGACAGAGGGTCAAGAGAAATCCGCTGTCGTCTTTTGGTGGAACCGACCTTTGAATCTCTTCACCAAACACTTTCATTCGAAATGGAAGTAAGCTCAACAATTACGTTATGAATGTTAAATTTTCAAACAATCAGGCGAGTAGTTCTCATTATTCCAAAAAGATTTATAGAAAACCTCGTCTCACAACAGATTATATCATCTAAGGCTGACTGCAATTCCAACCTCAATTTGGTTTTATATAAAGCACAAATGGGATTTGATGGTTGGTTGTGAATGTCGGGGAGAGTGTACCGCCATACAAAGCAGCAAAGTGTGTCATTGAGTCATAGGGCAGATGTGCTATTCAAGGCAAGACAGGCCTGTCTTAGGCCATATTTTATAGTGGGACTTTCGATTTAGCAAAGCTGTGTTTGCTGTTGCAATCGAAGACGTTACTCATTTTCGATATAAGTAGTTTTTCGAAACTTTCGCTGACGCTTGAGTGAGAAGTAAATCATCCATATTCATTCAACTCATTTAGGGAAATCTCATCTATCAGTTTCAAGAGCTGTATTCATCCTATTTTGTTTTAGGCGATAAAGGATCAACTGTTGAAATTAACAAACTCAAATCAGTAGGACCTACGCTTCGCTACGGCTTGCTTTCCAAAAGGACTGGATTGTAGTTTCGACCTCGCCCTCAACCTTCGTCAACCACCGTCAACTTCCTCTTGTGCCAAGATTCCGGTCTCCGGAATGGAATAATTTCGTGATTCCACCGTTTATAATTGCCTGAACACGAAATTTTCTTATTTTTCGTGCATAAGTAGAGTTCGCTTCTAATTTAAGGATTAATAGCGAAATTGCCCATTACGACTATGTTCGTTACAGACTCACGTATGCTGGTGGGTTGCAGAGCCTTGTTGACAAGCATAACAAGTGACAGTGTGTCGATGAGTCAAACATGCATTTTTCATCAAATTCTACGACACTACTTATGTGCATCATGAGCATCATTATGCAAAATTGGCATTACTTCTTGTATAAGGTATTAATTTCGCAGCCTACTTATATTGAATGTAAGCAACGTCGACGATTGCAATGGAGGACATGCTTTCCACTAATTACATTACTGACCTAGAGCTAATAAATTATAGGATTTTTTAAAAGTCAATTGCA